GGACTATCTACATATGTTGCAGAGGATCACCGGTTTCCAGCCTGCGGAGCCGACTGCTTTGAGTGGTGCCAGTCGACTACAGTTTTTGCCCGTTAGGCAGCATCTGGTGGCGTTGCACGCAGAGATTATTGATGACTCACAGCCAAAGGCTATCGACCAGCAGACGAGGTTGTTGCTGCTGATGATGTTTGGTGGTATTTTGTTCCAGAACACTTCGGGAAACCTAGTTGGCTTGCGATTTCTGCATCATCTGGAGCGGCTAGATGAGTTACCTGATTACACTGGGGTGGAGCTGTTCTCGCCTACCTTAGGCAGTTGTGCTGGTCGTCCATGGGCATCGTAAGAGATGTCGGTGGTTTTATTCTGATGCTGCAGGTGATAACATAATCAATTCTTTTCATGATTATAACAAAGATCGTAAAAATGACTTAAATTTTACATCCACAATCAATATTTGGTTTGGGCCTGAGAGTGATTCCTGCAGATCCAGTCACCTCTGCCACTGATAGCTCCAGATGCTCCACCTCCACCGAATCTACCACAAGCTAGGAGGTGGGTAGATAGGCGAGGCCACGCCTGCGAGGTCGAGGCTCGACATCATCTCCCTTATTACAGGGATCTGTTGGATTTACTTGAAGACGCTCAGGTACATATATGACTAAGTTTTTCTTATAATTCTTGATATGTCTTGCGTTTACTCACGATTCTTGTGTTTAATAAATAGTTCATATGGAAGCCATACAGCAACGAGCTCATAGCTGGATTGCCAGATTATTGCTCCTGCGGTCGAGCTATATGGATGTCTTCAGTCCCACTTTTATGTCTCGATATAGTCGAGCATCATACCACCGAGCGACTCAACAGTCTGATCGACTCCAGCTTATACCTATTCCGCCCACTTGGCATTCCACACATTGGCAGCTTGATGATCGCTACAAGGTCGACCTGACATACTTGGCCTGGCTAGAGGCACAGATAAAGGATTGGGATCAGAGGTGTAGCCCGATTCCGCCATGCCGACCGTTTGGACGGGGAGCATGAGTACATGGGTTGGTATCGCAGTGTTACTCGCTTCTAATCAGGAATCCCGTTCATAGCGCTAGTGGTCGGTACGTTCCAAACGCTGAGAGTAAGGGTGGGCGTCGGTCGGTGCGGTGCGGTTTATAATAAGTTCGGTTCGGTTTGTTTGGTTTTCGGTTATTATTTTGGTGTACCGATAACCGAACCAATATAAATTCGGTTGGTTCGATTTTTTAAATTACGGTTCGATTAATTTTCGATTTTGTTCGGTCGGTCTTGGGGCTACCATATTTGGCTTTTCTTTGACCGAAAATGTAGTTTTATATTTAATATCTTTAAAAGTTAGCTTAAATATAAGCTGAAAAACTTGTAGTTGGCGACATGTATCCCAAACTGCATTGAGCATCAAATTACTTCTGCCATAAAAAGAGACTGTTTTGCCTCACAAAAATAAAGCAGCAACAACAAAGAAACAAAGAGGTAAAGTGCAAATTCTAGCTAATGTCAGAATCTAACTAAATTGATTATTCACTATAAGACTATGCATCCTAAAAATGGTTACTAAAGTACAAAAATATATTCATGGATATAAATTTACCTGATTAGCGAATCCCAAAAGAGAAATGAAACCACCATACTTCCCCAATGCTTAGCCATGACATATGTTTAGTCTTTAGAAATCATTAGCCAGAAGCCTAGAACCCCAAAACCCAATATCTCAAATTCCCATACCCAAACTTCGGTTATTCGGTTAACCGAATAATTAACAAAGCAAAAACGTAAACCGCACCGAACACCAACGTTTTAAAAAATATAAACCGCAACCGACCGAATTAACCAAATAGTCGAAACCGATAAAACCGAAATTATAGGTTCGGGCAGTTTTTTCGGTTCGGGCGGCATTATGCCCACCCCTAGTAGGGAGGCGTGAGGCACTGGTATGTTATTTGATATACTTACTTATAATGTTACATTACTTTAACATCTTTCCTTAATTAATATGTTATATGCTATGCATAATATTGGCTTACACTGGTTCTACCCACACAATACCTCTCGGTCATAAAGTGACTTTGCCTATTTGGCTTTCTCAAGCCCAAATAGGTATCATGCTAAATAGTTTATATGAGCTCAAGTCGGGTTTTCCATATCTCTAGTTCAAACCCTTTAATTTGGCTAGTCAAATCCTCAATTAATTCAATTTCTTGTTAGCCAAGTTTTCCTAAACAATGTCCCTCTTTCTCAAGTAAAGACCAAGTCAAAAAGGCATGAATCAACATTTTCAACCACTAATTCTAAAATAAAAGCATAAACAAGGCTAAATAATCAACACTCAATCATAAACAAGCATTAAATTAAATACCCATAAGGTTTATACACTAGGGTTAGGTCACAACACTAGTAATTGTCTAGCTACTCATAGTAGAAAATGAAGAAAGCAAAGAAGAAACAATAACTAAACTCATAATAAAAGATTTAAATGATAAACTATGATGTTTTTATCCCCAAATGACCACAAATTTCCTAAAATGGAAAACTACAACGGCTACACCTGCTTGAACTTCAAAACTTGACCTAAAATGTGATTCCCATCTATTTATAGTGGCCCAAAATTTGCTGACAAAGATGCCCCTCGGGAGGTTCTGCGACCGCACAATTCCATATGCGGTCCGCACATTGCTTGGTCTTGCAAGGAACTAGATTCTACAGTCGCACAATTTGGTTTGCAGCTGCAATGCAACTTCTGCGATCGCACAATTCTTGTGTGGTCCGCACTTCAGGCAAGGCTTCAGTCTTGGTCATTTGCACACTCTCTGAACTTTTTGAATTCTTGTCAGTGCGGACCATGTTCTGCGGCCGCACAATTCATGTGCGGTCCGAACTTCTGCTTAAAGTACTGTAGGGCTTCTTCACCAGTTCTGCGGCTGCAAAGGGAATTCTACGGTCCGCACTTGCTTTTGCGGCCGCAGAAATACCTCTGCGGACCGCATTTCCTGTGTGTTGCGCCCCTTCTTGCCTTGTGAGTCGGAACACTCCTTTTTGAATCGGATTTCTTCAAAAGAGCCCAAATTTCCAACATTCCTGCAATTTGCACACTTTCGTTAGTTTTGGGATCATAAATCAATACTTTCGGAGTAAAACAAAAGTAAAAAGGTACTAATAAGTGGTCAAAATCCACATTTATCAACTCCTCCAAACGTAAGTCTTTGCTTGTCCTCAAGCAAATAGATTAGTTCCCACCTCCTCAAAGTTAAAGGTTATTTCAGCGAGTCGATGGTGAGCCATTCATACTCAGTTGGGACCAACAATTACCCACACTACTCATGCATTATCAACAAGGTGACAAGTCAAATATCCATGAACATATAGTTCTAATGTGACATTTGAGCTTCAAGAATTGACTTTACTCATCAAGGACTCTTGTTCTATCATGTAGGTCATGGTGGACTCCAAACTCTTCCTCCTCTACCTTCCATTTGCCAAGCTCACTTAAAAAGTTAGCACTCAATCTTAAGATTCATGAAAGGTTCACTCTTCTCTCACAAGAGAATGTCACAAGTACGGCTTCAAGTACCATAGGTTTTCCCCTCATGTAGATCTCCACTAATGTAAGCTCACTTGGTTCGGAATCAAGTAGGACTTCTTTCGGGTTGTAATGAAGGATTTTGGATTAGGGTAGGATACCATCTGGGTAAGTGGTTACACCTTTCCTTAAGCACTCCATATTTTCATTTCTCGGCTCACAATTACCAATTCCAAGAGGTATTTTCTTTTTATTGGGGGCTAGAGAGACTTGACATCACTCTTTCTTGTTCATCTCATTCTGTTTCTCCCTTTGATGCTCATGTTAGAGATCATTATCTCTTTTTGAATCCATCAACCCTTCCACTTATTCTCTTTTTGCATTTTTTCTTTTTGTTCCTTTTCTTTTCTTGCCTTATATTTTCATAGAGATCATTTCTTTTCTCTTTTTGTTCCTTGATACCTTTTTGTCAAATTCCTCATATCTCCCCCAAACTTATGCTTTAAGCCACTTATTTCACAAGAGTGTTAAGGAAAGTCTGGGTGCCAAGAGAGGATCACGACAAAATGGGCAAAGGCTTATAACATGGTTATCAAATGAGAAAGGTTAGAGGCTCAAAGGGGGTTGAGTAGGGATAATGACACTGGTTGGCAATAGAAGCTCAAACGGGACAAGGAAAGCCTACAATCATTTCTCAAACCAAGCAAATCTTAGGATTTCGCCTTGAAGCACATTAGGGGCAAGTTCTAGACCATTCGCATGGATACTTGGATTAGAAATAATTCATCTCACCCCCCATGCAACTAGATCATAAAAGAGGATAGAGTCAAGATCCTACAACAAACACACTCAAGTTTAAAGATCACTATGGTCCAAACCACTCGATGATTGTCAAAGTCAACTCTAGAGTCTCAAAGTCACTAACTAGAGCTATTTTCTTTAAAGAACCTTATCTCTAACCATAAGCACGTAGTTAAGTGTATTGGTACCAAATTAAGCATGATTAACTCTTCGAGAATGACTTTATTAGGCCTTTTTATTCATTACCACTATCATTATTATTACTAAACACAAAAAAGAACTCATTCCCTTAAGAAGGTTGTCACGCCATCCATCGTTGAGACGAGTCACCCAATTCAAACAAAAGCTACCTTTGGAAAGAGCCATGGTGTTAAAAAAAACCGAAGGTTTATTATCTACGAAAGCATAAAAAGAAGCTACTTAACAAAAGAAGAACTAAAGTGGAAAAATAAAGAAGCTAATGAACAATAATTACTAAAGATAGATAACTACGAATAAGAAAAGAAAAAGAATCATCCAATTATTACAGTCCAAATGTATCCAAAATGTGTCAATGTATCAAATAAACAGCACCCCCTCCCCCCGAATAAAAGTAAGCATTGTCCCTAATGCTTAGCAAAATAAGAGTGAAAGAAGAGAGGGTGAAGAAAACTCCCTATGGATCCTTTGACATCTCAGTGTCCCTAGCAATATCATCTCCCTCAGGATCAGCCAACTGTATTTCCTCATTGTCAAATCTAGGTGTGGCGGGAGTGGTGAATATCCCACGCACTGCCTCAGCAGTGTCGGTAGTAAGGTCTGGCTCCTCAGACTGGCCAGCTGGTGCTACCGGTGCAGATGGTGCTGATGGATCTGGGACGGACTGGTGCAAGTCAAGTAGCATATCAAAAGGTAGGTACCCAGCTGTAGAAAGTCTAGTCACCTTCTTTCTGAGCTTGTCAACTGATTTCTTGCTTGCCTGGGATTCCTCATCATCTTCACTTCTTTTCCCAACTCCTCAAGAACCGACACATGCTGCACTAAGGTGTCCATGATCATCTTCTGGTTTTCCAGAATCTTCTTGAGCATCTCATCGATGTCAGAGGGGGCATGTGGTGCCAATGTAGTGGATTGCGTTGCATAGTACTAGATAAGTCAGACAACTTTGAAGTAGCTGTCTGCATCTAGTTGTTGAGACTCACCAATGTCTGGGAGACTCGCAGAGCAGATAATGGAGCTGTAGGCATTGGGCACTAGCCTTAGAGCTGGAGCACGGCCGTGGTAGGAGCTGAGGATGATGGCGGAGGCATAGCAGCGGCACTGGAAGAGGACTCAGCAGAGGTGGATGGAAGGTCCGTTGTCTCAGTAACTACCACTGCTGGCTCAAGACTGGCCTGCAGTGGTAGAAGGCTGGGTTTTCTTCTTTGGGTTGGTCTTATCCATTAGTGAATACCATTCAAATAGCTTCTTCGGCTTCACTTTGGTGTCAAAAGAACTCGGCTCTACCTTGCATCAGTGAGGTACTCTGTGATAGTGTTGGGATAAGGGTAGCCGAGCTAGCCTGTCGTGCTATCAAAGAAGTGTTGGCTAATATCACGGCACCCACATTAATTGGGTACGTGGCCATGATGGAAGCCACAAGAACAGCCCGAGGAATAGGTGAATGAGTCTCGTTCTGGCTCGGATCCAATCTGTTGCAAACAAAGGTCTACCACCCCTTCGCCTCGAAGCTCAATGTGTTCCGCTGAATGGGAACCCCAGCGGTAATCCATGGTGGTCGTGGCCCTTGTGGTGCTAAGATCTCATCCAGCCAAGGTCGGACTTCTTCCTTCATTGCACATTTCTCCCGATACTCCGGCTCCACATCCTCAACTCAGTACGCGTTTAGCATATGCTGATCAAACCTCACCTTGAGTTTGTGAACTTTGGTCACCTTCATCCCCTTCTTTATGTGAGCAACATTAGCATAGAACTCTTGGATGAGGTATTCCTTGGCATCCTCAACTCATTCAGTGAACCACATCCAACCCTTTCTTTCTCTAAACTGCCTTAAGATCGGCAGGTTGTATGTCTCCAAGTCTTTTAATAGAAACTGTCTCTCAATAGTCAAAGACCTCACTGGTCACCACATACGAAAATCAGTGAAGGTGGCCAAACTTACAAATATCCTCTCATACCTCCTTCTTCTTCGATCTCTCCACACCCGTGGTTGTACCATCTCTCCCTCTACCATTATCCAGTATGTCCAGTATGGCTCATAGGACTAGCTAGCACTCTCCGAACCCTCGGAGGTGTTGTGAGATGAAGAGGGCTCATCCTTGAGTTGGTATCTCCCCTGTGGCCTCGCGTGTGTGGCTGTCTGCTCCTCCTGAATAGAGGTTGAGTTGCCCTTTGACACTTCTCTTTACGGGACACAGGAACTAGACTCGGAGAGGTCTGCACCTCTCCCTCTACCTGTTGTGGCTTTCTTTATGATGGTCTTAGGCCGGCCAAGGGGCAAGGTACCTCTACCTCGACCCCTAGAAGATTCACCCCTTCCCATTGTAGTGTCACCTCGGCCTCTCGATCGAACCATTATTTGTATCAAAGGAAAGAAGATTGTTAGTTTCAATTCATTATTCAACACATCCAGGACTTATGTAGGCAAGGGAGGAACAATTCGACACAATGGGGTTATGAGTATAACGGAGGTCTGCAGGTAATTGGTTCTGCGTTCCGCATATTTTTTATGTGCGACCCTAGAAAGGAACTGCAATCCGCAGAATTTGGTTGTGCAGCGGCAGCAAAGAAGTGTGGTCCGCACAATTTACAAGTGTGGCAACACTTCAAACTCTCAAAGTGCAGAGTCTCTGAAGATAGTGCGATGGTCGATCTGCGACCGCAAGAGAAATATGTGGTCCACACATTTTAAATTGCGGCCGCAAATCCTTGCTTCACTGAGTTGCCAAGAACTCCTAATCTGCGGACCGCACAAATTCAAGTGCGACGCAGATTTTAAAAGTTACAAACAATCATATCTTTTTTCTACTTAGATTTTTTATTTCTTGCACAAATAGACATGGCAACATGGTAAAAACATGAAATTTCACTAGCCCAAGCCCATTAGAGCATGTATTATGATTACCCAGTTCTGATCTACCCCACATGGACACATAGTTTAACTCTAATAACAAATAGCCTAAAAAGAACTAAAAATCTAAAAATTAAACTAACACAAAACTTTAACATGCAATTGAAACATACCAGACAGAGTGAGTGCAATGGGTGAATAATCGCAGGTGGTTGTGTGTGAGGACAGTTAACACCTCTCAAGAAAATCAACAGAGCAACAATGTTTGTTTAGAGAGGGAAAAGTGTAAAATGATCTCTATTCCTCTATTTATACCAAGTGTTTGCAAAAGAGAAAAGAGTCGAGTGTGGCCGCACATTAACATGTGCGGCCGCACATTAACATGTGCGGTCCGCACTCTGTCACCTGGGTTGAACGTCTCAGATCTCAATGTGCGGTCCGCACATTTTTAGGTGCGATTGCAAATCAGCCTCCGCACTGACAAGCTTAAACTTCAGAGAATTAGTATTTTGACACTTTTTCAATATTTCAAATGTGCGGTCCACATGAGAAATGTGCGGCCGCAATGCTCTTCTGTCGTGGCACATAGAAATGTCCGGCCCGCACAAATAAAGTACGGTCGTAGAGTTTTGAACACTTAGCCATATTTTTGTCCACTTTTCTTGTAAGTCACACTCATCCCTGTAGCACACTTCAAATCAAGTTAGAACACAAATAACACCTAACTACAAAAGAAAAAAGAAAAGAACATGGCTTGCCTCCCAAGAAGCGCCTAATTTAACGTCGCAGCACGACACAAAATACCCTTAGGTGAAGTGAATGACCGCCGCCACATGGCTATCTCCAACCTTGCCCAAGTAGTGCTTCAACCGGTGACCATTGACTCGCAATACTTTATTGTTTTTGTTCTTCAAGTCTAAAGCACCAAAAGGTGTCACACCAATAATTTCAAATGGACCAATATTCTTGGATATTAGCTTCCCAGGATACATTCTCAACCTTGAGTTAAACAACAATACAAGATCGGCTACCTTGAACTCTTTGTTCCAAATGAATTTGTCATGAAGATATTTCATCTTTTCTTTGTACAAGGACGAAATCGCATAAGCATGGTACCGGAAATCATCCAATTCATTCAAATGTGCAACCCTCAAGTTAGCGGCTACATCCCAATCAAGATTCAACTTCTTTAGATCCCACATTGCATTGTGCTCTAGTTTCGCCAGAAGATGACAAGCTTTTCCGAACACCAACCGGTATGGCGACATTCTGATAGGTGTTTTGTAAGTTATCCGATAAGCCCATAATGCATCATCAAGCTTCTTGGACCAATCCATCCGATTAGCATTCATCGTTTAAGACAAGATACTCTTTATCTCCCGGTTGGAGACTTCCACATGCCCATTAACTTGCGGGTGATAGGGAGTCGTAACTTTGTGAGTAACACCATACTTGCTAATTAAAGTGTCAAAAGCCTTATTGCAAAAGTGTGACCCTCATCGCTTATAATTGCACGTGGAGTACCAAACCTTGTGAAATATTCTTCTTCAAGAAAGCCACTACATTTCTCGCTTCATTATTGGGTAAAGCGATGGCCTGAACCCATTTGGACACATAATCCACCACGACCAAGATTTAGGTGTTTCCACAAGAACTCATAAAAGGGCCCATGAAGTCAATGCACCACACATAGAAAATATCAATCTCCAAAATGGTTGTGAGAGGCATTTCATTTTTCTTTGAGATTTCACCGACCCGTTGACATTCATCACATTTTTTCACTAACTCACTAGAATCCTTGTAAAGAGTGTGTCAATAGAAACCACAACTAAGCACTTTGGCCGCCGTTCTTGCTCCACCATGATGACCACCATATGACGAAGAATGACAAGCCCCAAGAATATCACCTTGCTCTTCTTCCGGTACACACCTCCTAATCACCCCATCCATAAAAATTCGGAAAAGGTATGGTTCATCCCAATAATAATCTTGACAATCCCTTTTGAGCTTCTTCCTTTGGCTTGAAGAGAACTCATCCTGAATGATTCCACACACAAGAAAATTTGCTAAGTCCGCGAACCATGGTACCTCTTTTATTGAAATTTCCAAAAGTTGCACATCGAGGAAAGAGTCATTGATTTCAAGGACATCATGCGGCCTCCCCTCCTCCTCCTAACGAGACAAGTGGTCCGCCACTTGGTTTTCACTATCTTTCCTATAATGGATGTAAATATCAAATTATTATAACAAGAGCACCCATCTCATCAACCAAGCTTTGGAGTCCTTTTTTCTCATAACATAACTAAGCGCCGCATGATCCTTGTGGACAATAACTTTTTCACCCATCAAGTACGGGTGGGACTTTTCAATTGCAAACACAATGGCAAAGAGCTTTTTCTCCATGACGGTATAGTTGACTTGGGCATTATTCATGTTCTTACTAGCATAGTTGACCGGATGGAAAATTTTGTTGATATGTTGCCCTAAAATAGCCCCAACCGCTACGTCACTTGCATCACACATGAGTTCAAAGGGCACACTCTAATTTGGAGCGGTGATAATGGGAGTAGTTGTCAACTTGAGCTTCAAAAATTCAAAAGCTCTCATGCAATCATCATTGAAATTAAACTTGGCATCCTTCTCAAGAAGCTTGCACAATGGGTTCACCACCTTAGAGAAATCTTTGATAAAGCACCGGTAAAAACCTGCATGGCCTAAGAAACTCCCCAACATTCACCGAAGTTAGGGGTGGAAGATTAGAAATCACCTCAATCTTTGCCTTGCCAACTTCAAGTCCATTCATTGAGATTTTATGGACAAGGACAATACATTCCTCAACCATGAAATGGCATTTCTCCCAATTGAGTACCAAATTGATTTCTTCACATTTGGCCAACACTTTGTCCAAATTTGCAAGACAATAATCAAAAGAATCCCCACCCAGACTTCAAGGTAGTCCTCTACCATGTTCGTGAAAATAGCCATCCATCATACACCTTTGAAAAGTCATTGATGCATTGCACAAACCAAATGGCATTCGCTTGAAAGCAAAAGTACCATGTTCTATTGGTATTTCGGAGCAATGAGAATTTGATTGTAGCCCGAGTACCCATAAAGAAAACAATAGAAAGCATGTTCGGCCAATCTATCGAGCATTTGATCCAAGAAAAGAAGTGGAAAGTGATCCTTCCTTGTGACTTTGTTGAGCTTGCGATAATCTATACAAACCCTCCAACCGGTCATTGTTCTTGTAGGGATCAACTCATTGTTGTCACTGGTGACCACCGTCACGCCCCCCTTCTTTAGGACACATTGAACCGGAGAAGTCCATGAACTATCGGAGATGGGGTAGACAATACCGGCATCCAACCACTTGATAATCTCCTTTTTGACAACTTCTTGCATAGCCTCATTGAGTCTTTTTTGATATTCAATAGATGGTTTAGCGCCATCCTCCAACTTGACTTATGCTGTTATGCATGCAAAAGGCGGGGCTTATACCCCGAATATCTATCAAGGTATACCCAATAGCCTTCTTCCTCTTTTGTAGCACCGCCAATATGGAATCTACCTGCACGTTAGTCAAATAACAGGAAAGAATAACAGGTAAAGTAGAATAAGGGCCAAGAAATTCATACCAAATATATGGAGGCAATGGCTTCAACTCCAAGGTAGGTGGCTCTTCAATAGAAGGCTTTGTAGGAGGAGTCTTGCTATTTTCAAGATCCAAGGACGATTTCTGGGTGCATAGTTGTACGACCCTATTCCTTGCAAAGAGTTCACACATTTCGTGAAGCCATCCATCTCGTCATCATCAAAGTTGAGCAAGACGGCCTCCAACATATCACCAACATTGAGTTTAGAACTTGTATCATCAACAGTGACATCGGTCACCAAATCCACAAAAGAGCACACCTCTTTGCTTTTTGGTTGCCGCATGTACTTACACACATGGAATACCACATTTTTATCACCAACCCGAAAAGTGAGTTCTCCGGCTTCAACATCACAAAGATCCTTACTCGTAGCAAGGAAAGGTCTCCCAAGAATAATTGGCACCTCACAATCAACCTCACAATCTAGAATGACAAAATCCATCGGAAGGATGAATTTATCAACCCGAACCAAAACATGTTCAATCACACCCAACGGCCTCTTCATGGTAAGATCGTCCATTTGCAATATCATAGAGGTAGGTCTTGGTTGCCCAATCTACAATGTCTTGAAAACTCAATAGGGCATCAAATTTATACTTGCCCCAAGAATACAAAGCGCTTTAGCAAACTCGGCACTTCCAATTGTACAAGTAATCGTGAAAGCACTGGGATCCTCCAACATAGGAGCCATTGAATGAACAATTGCACTCACTTGATGAGTGACTTTGATGGTCTCAAAATTCATCAACTGTTTCTTTGTCACAAAATCTTTCATAAAATTTGCATAACCGGGCATTTGTTCCAAAGCTTCGACTAATGGCACATTGATTGAAAGACTCTTCATCATTTGAATGAACTTCTTGAATTGATTCTCACCATTTTGCTTGGCAAGTCTTTGACGGTATGGAGGTTGAGGCATAGGTGATGGTGCCTTAGCCTTTTGCACTACCGGCTCCGGTATGTCAATATTGTGTATCCTAGACGGGTTCACCTCCTCTTGAGTCTCTTCCACACTGTCATCAATATGAATACGAACTTTCTCATTAGGTTGAACCACATTGTTCGAGATCTCTTCTTCTTGCATCACTTGATCATCATCAACAAGTCGCCTTCCACTTGAGGTGGGTACATTCCCGTCTCTTCCACTTCTTGTGATAACCGCTATGGCATGCCCCATATTGTTACCACGCTTTGGTTTTACCACCGTATCACTTGGTATTGCCCCCTTAGGATGAGAATTTAGAGCTTGAGATATTTTCCCCATTTGAACTTCTAGGTTACGGATTGATGTGTTGTGTGAGGCAAGTTGGGCATACGAATCAGCATTATTTCCATCATTTGCTTGAACATACTTTCAATACGTCTCATCTAATTATTTGAAGAACTTGAACCATGGGAAGGATAAGGAGGTGGGTTTCTCGGTTGTTGATACATAGGGGGCCTTTGAAAACTTGACCCCCGGTTGCCCTGGTTGTTACTACATCCACCTTGATTGTTGCCTCCCCAATTTCCTTGGTTGTTTCCACTTCAATTTCCTTGATTGTTATTGTTATGACAATTCCCTTGATTGTTAGAATTCTAATTGCCATGATTGATTTGTGGCTGCCATTGTTGTTGGTTTGGGCCTTGGAAGTTATTTTTTTTCCCTTGAAAATTATTCACATATTGCACCTCCTCCTCTTGTTCATAATAATCATCTTGCTTAAAACCTCCATCATCTTGCACATAGTTCTCCACTCGAGTTTGCACTTGTAGACCCTTGGTCCTCCTCTTGTTCTCCAACACATTCACTCCCTTAGCATTAACTTGATTAGGAGCTTGCACTTGATTTGGTTGGCCTTTTCTAGTTGAGTCATGGTAGTGGTCAATTTGGCAATGGCTTGACCATAGGTCTTGCAATTCTTTATGAATGTGGATCATATTTGGATCACCTTGTGGAACATTGGACCGGGATTGCCAAGCCGACGATGTTTCCGCCATCTCATCCAAGATTTCACACGCCTTCGCATAAGGCATAGTTATAAAGTTCCCACTGGCTAGTTGATTCACTACAAATTTGTGGGTTGTGTTAATCCCACGATAAAAGGTTTGCTGAATCATGTTTTCCGTCATATCATTGTTGGGACATTCCTTAACCATTGTTCTATAGCACTCCTATATTTCGTGTAGTGGTTCATTTGGGTCTTTATTGAATGCCACGATCTCATATCGAAGTGTATCCATGTGCCCGGGAAAGAAAAACTTAGCAATGAACTTTTCTGCCAACTCATCCCAAGTGTGAATTAAATGGTTCGGCAATCGTTTCAACCAATCTAAAGCTTCCCCCCTAGAGAGAAGGGAAAAAGCCTTAGCCTCAATGTATTCTCGGAAACATTAGTTTGCTTGCTCCCCCAACATGTATCCACAAAGCCCTTCAAATGTTTATAAACATTTTGAGTTGGAGCATCGGCAAAGAAACCTCGTTGCTCAAGCAAAGTGAGCATCACCTTGGTGATTTGGAAGTTGCCCGCCCTAATACGGGGAGGGACTATTGCACTAGCATAACCTTTGCTGGGCAATATCCAGTGTGGAGCCGCTCGTGGTGGAGGTGGGGGTGGAACAGGCACGTATTCATGTGGTACCCGGCCTCTCTGATTGGCTTGAGGCTCAAGAGGTACCTCATCTACTTGTTCCCCCTCGCCGTCCAATTCCCCCAAAGGCAAATTTTCAAGATCATTGTTCGCCATGTTTGTACCTATAATTTCTTAAACAAGTTAGTAACATGGAAGGGAAAGAAGATATTCCAAAAACACACTCAAATATATAGCTGACACAGTTTTAACTTCCCGATGACGGCACCAAAAATCGATCCACGTCCAATCCACACTCAATAGCGAGTGAAAACGGTCTGTGGAAGAACATTACCCAACAAGAGTCGGGGTCGATTTCCATAGGGAGTTTAATATGGGTGTTAGGATGTACACTTGATGAGAGTAATTGAAATAACTAAATTGCTCTTCCAAACAAGGGATTTTGTTTTCTACTTCTAAATTAACACTAGCAATTCTAAACTAATGAGAAGAAACTAGAAAGCGAGTGATTGTTTTTTGTTGTTTTTACCAAATGGTTAAAAAGCCTAAGGATGTGACCTTTGATAAGTAGGATTTTAACGTATTTTATGCCCCTACTTGCCTATGCTTTGAGTATAATTTGATACAAAATAATCCCAAAATGCCACAGGTTGTGCTTGATTGCAGGTTTGAGCGACAAAGTGACTGAATTGTCAAAGATCGGCTCAAAACGGAGTGAAACCTGCTCAAGCATCAAAGGCCAAGAAAAGCGAAGGAAAAAGATCCTAGTGCGGACCGCACAAAAGTGCACGCGGCCGCACTAGGAGAATTAGAGAAGTGCTAATTCAAGACTCTCACCACGCGGCTGGGGTTGGATTTACGCGGCCGGCGTTCAGCTCACGCAGCCGCGCCACATTTTCACGCGGTCCGCGTTAAGACATTCAGAGAGATGAAATTTAGGGACCAAAGCAAGCTACGCAGCCGCGGTCACATTTACGCGGTCCGCGCCAGATCCCACGCGGTCTCGCTACCTTTTTGCGCGGCCCGCTATCCTCAACTTCAGAGAGCCAATCTTCAAGATTTCAAGAGCCCACGTGGCCGCGCTACCTTTTTGCGCGGCCCGCGCTGACCCCGCAGGGGTATTTTTGTCCATGTTTTTCAGCCACTATAAATAGATCTTTTTTCCATTTTAGGTTAAGTTTTAGATACCTAAGGCTGCTGAGCTCGTCAGAACATTGGGTTTAGCCATTTTTGGCATTTTTAACCTCTAATTTTGTATTTCTTCCTTAGTAATCAATTATTATGTTTGCTTCTTCATCTATTTCTTTAATTTTTGCATCTAGCATGAGTAGCTAAACTCACTAGCTAGGGTTGTGGCTCAACCCTAGTGTGGGTATTTAATGGGTGTTGCAATCTAAGGCTAGATTGATATTGGGTATTTGCTATTTGGGTTAATTTTAGGTTTTCATTAAGGATTGGTGGTTGCAAACACTGGTTCTAGCTTGGTGGGTTTGACTCTTCTTGAGAAAGAAAGTCTATGACCCCAAAATTGACCCAACAAGAAATTGGGATGGACCCATGAGAAATGGTAGTCCCAATTAACGGGTTAAACCTCGAGAGAGTAATTACCACACTTGAACCCTAGTTGCTTGGTCAAATTGGCCTACCCAATTGGTCTCGAGAGAGTCAATTGGGCAAAATCACTCTCTCTACCGAGAGGTGTGAGAGCGGGTACAATTGAGCAACGGTTATAGCATAAGCCCCAAATAAGTCAATTTATCCTTAGTAGCATCTACCAGTTAGTTAGCCACCTAGGTAATGCCACGACCCTAGTGCTCTTATCTATATTAATTACAACTTAGCAATATCTCCATAGCATAATTTAGCTTCAAATATTAGTCTTAAAGTAGAAAATATAAAAACCAAGACCGAAAATGTTAGAAGTGATATTAGAAGCACAACTACAATTCTAAACTAAGTAGATAATACAACTCCCTCTCTAGCTCATTGTGGAAAATCGATCCCGATCCACTATCGGGTAAAAGCTGTTGCAACCCGCTCTTCCTACTTTAGAGTAGTGTTGAGTCGGTAGCGATCAACTTTTTGGCGCCGTTGCCGGGGAGCTTACGGTGTTGACTATCGGTTTGGTTAGTTTTGTGTTTTGCTTCTCTTTCCTTCTTGTTTACTAATTCTGTTTGTGTCGATCATTCAGGTACTATGGCTCTCAATGCAAACGACCTTCTTGGCAACGTGAATGCGGGAGAGGAGGTAGATGATCTTGAGCCCGAAGAGGTTCAACCACCTTAAGTTATACGTAGAGGTCGTCCGGCCAACGCAAATGACAACAATCATATTCCAGACCCTCCTCCGCCACCGCCAAGAGCAGTCCCAAGAGTTCTTCCAAATCAAGTGTACGCGAGTGCCATTGTTCCTCCCCGAATCCGGGCGGGGAACTTTCAAATCACAAATGTTATGTTGACCTTGCTCGAGCAAAGAGGGTATTTTACGGGCGCCTCCGACCAAAATGCCTACAAGCACTTGAAGGGGTTCGTAGATACTTGCTGGGGGAGTAAACAAACAAACGTGTTCGAGGATGCGTTGAGATTGAGGCTTTTCCCGTTCTCTCTTCGGGGTAAAGCGTTGGACTGGTTGGAAAGGCTCCCCAATCATTCTATCACCACATGGGATGAATTGGCGGACAAATTTATTGCCAAGTTCTTTTCTCCAAGTCATATGGCAGCTCTTCGGGACGAAATTCTAGCTTTCAAGCAAATGCCAACGGAACCTTTGCACGAGATATGGGAACGATATAGAACAATGGTGAAGGAGTGCCCTAACAACGACATGACTGAGGCGATGATCCAGCAGACTTTTTATAGGGGCATCAACACCACGAATCAGTGCATTGTGAACCAATTGGCCGGTGGGAACTTTATGAAACTTTCTTACCAAGAAGCTTGTGATGTACTTGATGAAATGGCTGACACTTCTTCGGCATGGCAAAGCCGAGAAAATGTGCCCCAAGGTGACCCCACGGTCATCCATTTGCACAAGGAGTTGAATGAACATGGCCAAGCTATTGCCGAACTTACAACAACAATGAATCAGTTGGCGAAGGTGCAATTGCAACAAGTACAGAATCTGCGCCAAGTCAATGCAATGGAGAATGTTTCTATGCTAAAAAGGAGGCAAAGAGGGCAACAACAATCTCCAGGTAATGGTGAGAAATTTGACAACAACAATGATGGTGGTGGTTATTCGAACGAGTGTTATGATGATCGAAGTGAGGAATGCCAATATGTCAATAACTACCAGGGAAATAGAGGAAATCAAGGGAATCAACAATGGCGCCCCCAAGGCAATTGGGGCAATCAACAAGGCGGCGGAAATTGGAATAACAATAATCAACAACAAGGTGGTAACAATTGGAACAATAACAATCAGAACAACAATTGGGGTAATCAAGGTAACAACCAAGGCAATTGCAACGGGAATAACAACAATTGGAGCAACAACAATAATAATCAAGGAGGATGGAATAATGGTGGTAGGGGGCAAGGCTTTCAAAGGCCCCCCATGTTCCAACAACCAAACAATCCACCTCCCTTTCAGTCGCAAGGGTCTAGTTCTTTCGGGAGTGATATGGACGGATAGAAATGATGTTCGAGCAGATGATGAAAAAGAACCAAGATTCTGACGCACAATTGGCTTCACA